TGATGTGTAGCCGATAGGTGACTTAACTTTCCAGATAAATATTGTTGTTTTTCTTGTTTACGAACTGTTAAACCAAGTAAAATCTGATCTACCTCTAGACATTGCTCAATATCAAATAAATCATCATCATATTCTTTCACGAATCGCCTACGTTTCTTATCGAATTGAATATTTGTCTCGTCATCTGCATGAAAATCATCATGAAATTCCTGAAAAATATCTTCAACCTAAAATAGAAATAACGCTTATGTATTCTGTAAACTCAACATGGTTCCACTGACATTTTCTTGTGCTAGACTCATTCCTTGATAAAAGCACAGAAAAATCTTTAAAATGATGTAAATATCTACAAATATTGACACAAGAAGAAGTGGTTCCCTTTTAATAGGTTTGAAATTAACAAAAAAGGCATGAAATAAGAAAAGTCTATACTGTTTATTAAAAAGGCCAATGTCCTTCTTGTCAGATAGTTTATAATTACATATAATAGGGATGTGGGTGTGTATAAAATTTATTTAATAGCACAAGCTACTTGCGACCGGTTTCGACCTTGCTTGAGGGTCATCTTCAGATAAGTTCGGTTATTAAATTTTTAAAATGCTGCCATTCAATCCGAACTTCAAATATATTTGAGCTAATTGACGTGTAGATTTTAATTGTTGGAGCATTGTCTAACCATTTGTAAGTTTTATGGCCATCATGAACTGATTTTGATAATATTTTTTTAAATTTTCGTTTCGATACTTTCAAATATTGAGATATGAATGTGGATTTAAAATTTTTTGTTGATATCTTCGGTTGATCATTCAGTTCACGTATCATTTTTGATGAAACACTGCTTGATTGAACATTTTTCTTTCTCTTTTTTGAACATCCTTGTGAAATCGACAATCGACTCCGTGATTGACTTAAATGTCTCTCAATTTTTGTCGATGTATTGTGTTTATGCTTCTTGGAATTGGCCTTAGGAATGATATTATTGAATGGAAGTTTCTAAACATAATAGAACAAGAAGATCATCAATACTATCATTTTTTTTTTGTCTTCTAATCATTCTTCTTACCATTATTTATTCGTCTCCTGCCATGCTGATGATTTTATCATCAACTGGGTTTATTTTCAGTGTTGTCTCATGAATTTGAGTCATCGTCCTCGTACGTAAAAAATCACAATGAATAGAAATATATCTAAAAAGAGAGCAAACCAGTTAACATCAGCTTAAACGATCGGATATTAGGAACAAAAAGCGCTTGGTTTTTTTTCTTGTTCAAATCATCTATTCGATACTGAGACTATTCTATGACACGCATCAACTACTTTTACGAGTAAGACAATTAAAGCAAATAATGTTCATTCATCCATGTAGTATTGGTGGATGCAGTTTATTAAAGACGATCCATAGGATGATATCCTACAGAACAAAAAAAAAATAATGACAATAAAATATGATTACTGCCGAAAAGAAACAATTGAAAATCAAGTAATACGAACTCTTTTTATTGACTTCACTTTTCGATAAAGTTAACAGACGAAGTGGTGGTCGTTTGTTGATCAGAAAATCACTTTTTGCTAGAGGAGTTGTTGTTCGTTCTATCCATTTGATTTGTACATGTTTCGTTTGTGATTCATTACCAAAATATTTCTTCCACAAATCTTGAAAACCTTGCTTGAAAATATTACGACTTTCTTGATGAATAAAACGTGGACATGGTACGAATAATGTATATTTTTTTTGTTCTTCACGTTGTTGTTTCAATTTCATTTGTTGTTCAACGTCTTGTATAATACGTTGACGTAAATTATTATATTCATCATCATCATTCAAACATAATGAGAAGAATTTTTCTTGTATACCAAATTCTTGGTAAAAACGTTCGATATTAGAATGAATAAATTCTGATGTGAAGCCCGATGTAAGAAATGATAATTGAATATGACATAGTTCATGATGAAAAGTTTCAACATCAGAAGAACATCGAACAGCTCGATAGAGAACAGCATATAATTGTTTTGATTGGTTTTCCATTGGTTTATCGGATACATTGGGTAAAGTATCAATAGCTGAATCATAATAAACTTTACTTTCGAGAATACCATCATTATTCTTATAGCTAATTTCAAGATCATGGAAATGAACTTTTGATCCAATAGATATTGTTACCAGATTTCGAGTATGTTCAATACCAATACTTTTCTTGATTAATGTACGAAATTGACCTTCGGATCCATGCCATGTTATAATTGCTTGTTCTCGATATCTATCAAAAGAAATGACTGACAAAATAACTCATAACTGTAGGATAAACTATCTAGGAATTATACCTGCCAAAAAATTCATTTTTTTCTTTCAATGATTTTACAAGATCTCGATGTTGACCATAAAACACGTTAATAAAGGTCAAGAACATAGTTAGTGGTAAACCAGAAGCACCGCCATGAATTTGTTGATACAATGCATAATTATAAACAACAAATTGTTTTTTCAAAACAAAATGAACTAATTCTAGAATAGTATCAATAGTAAGACCATCTATCATCTGATCTGGTAATTGTTCGACAAGTAAACTTTTTAAGGCTGCTATTGTTTCATCATGTCGAAAAACTGTCATCAATTCATCCATATTAAATGTTACGAAGAGAGTTCGAGGTATAAGATGACCTATTTGAGCATAATGTTCAATGGCATGTATAACATCGACAGCACCATTTGAAAATCGTCTGCAATTAGTTGCTCGATCAAAAATAGACCATAGAATAGGAGTTATATAACGAACTATGTTCATTGTTGGTCCATCATTACATATCATAATTGGTCGAACTGGAATTCCTTCCTACATAGTTTTCTTTACAAATCATAATAGAAACAAAATAAAAGAGCAGTATAACACATACTTTGTGAATTTCTGGTACAAAATAAAGATAATGCATTCGAGCCGATAATCGACTAATATTCATTTTCATATAGTGTACTTCGTCGATACATTTTGAATCAAGTAAATTATCCAATTTGATTTCTACTTGTTCGACAATATCGGCTAGACATGTTTGACTAGCAGTTCGATGAATTCCATCTAGTTTATCTATCAATTTGTAAGCACCTGTTCGTTTCATATAATCGGTTTCTTTTTGTTGAAAATCTTTTTCAGAACCTAAGTAAAATTGAGTACCCTTGTATGGTAATCTAATAATAATATTACTGGCGATGGATTTACGTCGAATAAAATTCGGTAAATCATTCCAGTCCAGGTCTTTTAATTCTTCTGGCTCGTTATGATGATAGGTTAACTTATTATCTTCATCTTCACTATCATTGTCATCATCATTATCATCATCAATGGAAATCCATTCTTCGCTGTCATCACTATCATCTTCTAATATTGTCGACATACAATTCATGCTATTCTTCTCATTGTAGCTATTGTGTTCTATAGAAGTTTGATTCTATGCATATTCCAAGCAATATGATTGTACTTTAGTTAGAAAAAAAAAACTATCTCTCATACTTTTTGTCCATATTCATGAAGTCGTGATTCAATCATATTGAAACCATTCAAATCTTTGTTTTCCATATTCTGACTTGTTGGAACAGTATTCTTTTCATTATTACCATTGTCCTTGATAGTATCCATCCCTAAAAACGAACAACAATCACTTTGTTAAATCTCCCCAAGAAAAAAAAAGAGTGATATATGTATGATTACCTGACCGTTCTGTATGAATTTTGTTTCAGTAAAACGTTAAGTCGAGTGTTGTGTTAGAACGATGAAGTGATATGATTTAGATCTAGAATAAGAGAAATCCAAAATCTTTTGTGTGAAATTTGGGGTTTGGGTGAATAGAAATTTGACCGTTCCACGACAAATGGGCGTTTGTTTCTGTTTTGTCCGAGCGTCATCAGGTGGAATCTCAAAACTTTTTGGTATTATATCCTCTATCGAGTTTTTCTTGTTCGGTGTGGGTGTGTATACAAATGAATTTCGTTTTAATAGCACAAGCTATACTTACGACCGGTTTCGACCTTGCTTAAGAGCCTTCATCAGGTAAGTTCGGCTATTAAATAGTGCTGCAATTCAATCCTTAAATCTGCAATGTTGAGAGAGTTCAACGAAAGTTAAGCAAAGAGGGTGTACGTCTTGATGTGGGTATGGAAGTGTGAGATATGGGTGTGTTACAGTTACGGCAATACAAATTGTTGTGTTTTAGTTGCACTGATAAAATATTATGAAGTGGGATGTATCTGTTTCAGGATGATTCGATTTCAGAAAAATTCAAATGAAAAATAAGATACAAATTCGGAATTCGAAAAGAATTTCGACAAACACCTCCATGTGTGTGTGTTCGAGTTACCACAATAAAAATTTTGATCTTTCAATTGTACTGATATAAATCGTGTTTTCAAATGAAAGGAGTGAATTCAGTATGGTGAGTTTGATAATAGTGAAAGTAAATTAAGGAAACGGTGTTGTAGTTGTAGTTATAATAGCATGCGGTCGGATTAATGTGTTGTGTGTTTATATGGAAGCTGTGCTAATGATAGTAGGCTTGTTTTGGAACAGTTATAATTTTATGGCAAGTATTTGTGAACTGATTTGTTGTTTTTGTTGGAGAATTGGGCGAATGGATTGCAGAAGCTCATATCGGAAGTGGGGCTGGAAGAGGTTGTTGGTTAGCGATATTTTGTAGAACACATTATGGAGAATTGATAGGTTTTAAGATAGAATTGTTAAGTAAATACGATATGTGGATGGCAATTGTGTAAGTAAAGGATATTGTGGGAAATGCTGCTACGATTTGGAGTATAAAAGCAGTCGAATCGGAAAGAGCGGTATTCGGCGTAGATTTTTGAGCGTTGTTATGACATAGTTGATAGTGTTTTTTGTGGCACAGAGAGATTTGTTTTGGGAAGGAATAGATGTTTATAAATCTATGGGAAAGTAGCATAGAATCTTCTGTCGGAAGATTTTTGTTTGTTGGTATGTGTCGTATCCGGTTTGGCGTTTTTTGTTTCGATAGTGTAGATGGAATGAAGGTAGTTTAGTGCGAGTTGGATGGATTAATGGAAATGGCGAGCAGTTTTATGAAGTAGCAGTATGTCAAATGGTTTGTTAGTGCTTGTAATTTTAGTGTTTTTTTAGGGATAATCTGGTAAGTGTTTGAAATATGTGAGTTCGTTTTGGAGTGGACTGGTAATTTCATCCGATGGTGTTGTTTTTTTTTATTTGTGTTTCATTGATTATGTTTGTTTATTCTGGATAATGTTTCCGATGTGGTATTGTTGCAGTTCTGATACCTAATGCAGAGCTAGTGGAGATAGGTCTTTGGTATATAGATTGATGTGTTGGTTTCAGTCAAGCCGTTGTCTGATAATCTGTATAAATGTTGAGCGAACCTAGGTTGATTTGTCGTGTATTTGGTAGTGATATGGGTGGATTTATAACGAGAATGTCATGGATTTGTTCAGTTGAGTAGGAAACTAGTAAGTGTGCTTCCAGGATTATAATTATCTAGAATGAAACTATATATATTAGTATGATATTAGAAGAAGTGCGCAAATGTATTTTATTAATCTAAGGTTAACTATTTCGCACACAGATTACAAACACTAAAGATTAACTATTATCTACGAGGCAAATAAAGTTGCTTATATTGATTAAATTTTATTTTATAATAGTGACCATTGTATTTTTAAAAGGTCACTGAGTTGATGTCGTGGTTCACATTGATGAATTATTCAAATTAGCACACCAATATAGGTTATACAGAGGACCGTAACGTTTTTCAGCATCACCACCAAGTGGACAAATCATATTTAATGTAGTTTCACCATGAATAATGAATAACGTTTCGATGATGTATCGTAATATTATTGGACAATCATCTGGTACTAAATCAATGTGAAAGAAAAACAGGTATAAATGATAATGATGATAATGATGTGGTTGATAAAGATAGATTTACTTACAAACGGCAATAATTGCTATGTTATACAAATCTAATTTGATATAAGGCCGGTAATGAATGGAAGAAGTAACAAGTCGTTCGAAAAATAGACGCTGTTGTTTTAGCTGTCGATATGAGAAGGCATAGGAAGTTGGTGGTAATGGTACATTATCTAGATAATTAGCCACCCTACGATTGTCTACGGCTGTTGTTGCTATCACAGCATCCAGATTGGGATCTGTAGTAGAATTTCCTGGACGATTAGCAACATTTTCTGTTACTGCTTCATCCCAAGGTAGAGGAATAAAACACCAATACATAGGATTACAATCAAGAAATGAACGAAGTGCTTCTGGACAACGAGCTGAATGTTGATAGAGACGCACTTGGTTAGCCATTTCTTTTCTATAACAATGAAAAAGAAAACAACGAATATGTAGCATAATTGAAAGAATGATCGAATGTCTTTTATTACTCTCTTTCATTTGGATCGATTTGTAATCCTCGAAATAGAGGACTACCAGTTAATTTTCATGTATAATTCGATTGCCATGTTCTCGATGATCTGTATATCATTAGGAAAAAGAAGAAGAGAAATAAAGGCATGCTCATGATAATCGTAAGGAAATTTATATTTACAAGTCATAGCATGAGCCAATGTGTTTGCTGTTGAATCAACATAATCATAATGACCACATGGACATGTCATAGCATAAATTATATTCGATGTAGTACATGTCTAAATTTTAGTCATAGTCGATCGATATAAAATTCAACATTTAAGGACAACATACTGGTGGGCAATTGAGATAGGTAGTATAACCATTGAGAAATCGATGCATTGAACTTGAAGCAAAATTAACAATTGGCCATGGTTGACTTTTCTTGTAAGTATTTAATGGAAGACAACATTGACAAAAAAGATTATCACATGGAACCAATGAATATCTTGCTTGAGGTTCATCTCTTCCACAAAATAGACCTTCTATATTAGATGAAGGTTGAGCTCCTCGAAACGAACAAGTTTTCATATAGAATAAATCCACTAAAAAATATGAAACATATATGCATCATATATATATATCGACATGAAGACTAACCATCGATTTGTAAATAGAATTTCAATGCCATAGCCATTTGTTTCGAATTGGGTGTTGGTTCTTTTAGAACAACATCACTCTTACATAGAACATATCGTCGAAATGATTCATGAAATGCAAGAAGAGTATGACAGATGCTACGAAGTCGTTGTGCATTGAAAGTAATTATTGATTTGCCTACTTGTAATCGTCTAGCTAATCCATTAGCATCTTGTTCAGTTAAACTAAATTCATCGGAATAAGTGTACTTATTCATCAGCATCAGTGCATCGAAAGTATAGGCTCCATATTGACGTCGATTAATTTGATGAGGTGCAAGACGCCTAACTAAAAGACAATGAAATGAAATGATTTATAATCAATTTATATCGAACATACGAACCTAGTACATTAGCCAAAACTAAACACTCATTTGGACCAACATATTCTGTTGGAAATATAGGTAAATAAGCATATCGTCCATTATTTTTATCTAATAATGTTCTTGATTGATATTCTTGTTGTTCATTATTAATTAACAAAGAAGTAGCTTGTTCTGCTCGAGTTAAATCAATTGTATTGAAATCCATATGCAGTAGAAAATATTTTGAATTTTTGCTATTCTTTCGTATTTTATACTGATTATATTTTTGTTTTTTGCGTCAAGATTCTATCTGAAAGAGAGAAGGATCTGAATGAAAAAAAGTTTTTGTTTTTCCTATCTAATTTCTTTTTTTATATGATTAAGAGCGAAGATTGTATCTAAAATAGTAAGATAAAATAAGCTCGATATAAAAGAAGTTTACTTGATTTGTATTAGGATTTTGAGCAAAATAAGTTTGTTGAAATATTATATTGGTATAATGATATTGAACCGTGGCAATATGTTCATTGATTTCGGTATGTAAAGATTGAAATCCTTGTTGTACAAATTTTTCAATGGTACATTCCATGCTACAGTTATAACCAGATAAACGAGTGGTCTTGACATTTAATTCGTGTCGATAATGTTCCTTTTTATTGTACAATTCTTGTAAACATTGATTGGCAAAAATTAAACAACTACTTTCATCGATAATATTATCATTTTTTAACTGTTTCATGAGTGATGAAACTTCTTTTGGCCAAATTTTCGTATCAGATACATTGATTGGTCGCTTGGATTGTATTTCTTCCATACCATATTTTCGGTAAACTATCCAGAGAGATTGTACTATGTCAATCGACATAATTTTATGCATACGAATAGCAATATCTCTTATTTTATCTAAATTCATCGTTGATGGTAAAATGGTTCGAAGTTTCTTTTCAAAAGATGGATTTTTTGAACAAAGATAGTCGGGTATAGATTTTCATTCACTACCAATTGTTTTCGAAAGAATGATTTCTATAGGAAATTTTGTTATTTGTTTTTTTGTTGAATTGATTTTAAAAGGTGAAAATTGGCCAAGCTCTTGTGATTGGACTTGTTCATTGATTATCTAAGAAGAAAATCATTGTTCATAGAATAGAAAGATCTTTGTTATTCTTCTGTCTTACTTTTGCGTCAGAAACTGTACTACGACGGGTAATAGTTTTAATAGAATTGAGATTTGATGTTGTCATTGCCATTTGAAATCGAATGGGATACAACAAAACAAAGATAGAATTCTGAAAATGATATTTAGAAGAAAAAAGAAAAGCAAAATATCAGAAGATAAATTTGTTTACTATTCGAAAAACAAACTATGAAACATGACACAAAAAAAGAAATGAATGAAGTGTTACAATAGAACTACATTCTACAATATTGCTTAAAATGAACGATCGAGAATGCTAGAGTCAGTAAGATCTATAAGAAAGGAATAGATCGTTGTCCTTGAGACGAAGCGTGAATAAATTTTATAATTTGTTGAGCACGTTGTTCGATATTATCGAGACGAGCTTGAATAATAGCACGCATTGAAGGAGAAAAGCATTTCATAGATGATAATTGATTCTTTTGATCATTACCATCAATGTCGAATTCATTTTGTTTCATATTTGTTATTGAATCATTACCTGGAATTATTCCTTTAACCATAACTTGATTACTCCTTGACCAACGTTTCTTTTGTTGACTAATAACCTTCTCACATGTTCTTAATTTTGATCGCCAAATTTGTTGAGCAGAATAAACCTATGAGAAGAAGAATAAGAGAAAGTTAGGCTAAATAAAATATTTACCTGTTCTTCTATTGGATTTAAATCATAGAATGATTTGACAAGATGTGCATCATGAATATCATACATAAATAAGATTTTCTTCTGTTCAAAATTTGTATTGAAATGATGCAAATCATTTTGCATGAGTACAATAAGAGCATTGCATATGATATTCATCCATTGTTCAAAAGATGTTTTATCATCTTTCATTTTTAAGTATGATGAATATCGTTGTAAATAATTGTATAAATTAATTTCTAGTCGTTGTAATTTATTTCAAATGAGATTTTGTTGATATTGAATATTTAGTTTTGTTTTCGAATGATCCCAATTAATGAAATTTTTTTCTATTACATCTTTCGATACTTCTGATAACTAAGTCACAACAGACATGTTTAAATTACCAATGTAGTACCAATAGTCTTCTTCGATTTTCAATTGAAAGGAAGTACACATGATTGTAGCAAGGTGTCGTGAGAATTGTAACATTTCAGTATTTGCTAACCATTGTTGAATCTGATAATGATCCGTTCGAATAGTTTTGCAGAGTAAACGTTTGAATTCATGAGAAGACAAGATCTTATAATTTGGTAAGAGTTTGCATGTCAGTTTCCAATCATCTGTAGGTAAATCGTAATGGTTTTTCATTTTTTGATGTGTTCTTGAAGGTGATGAATTATTGCCTTGGTTCTATACAAAAGAAAAACATCGTATTTGTTTTTTGTTCATCATTTGAGCGTACTTGGTTTCCATAGAAGATGGACACTTGAATATCCTTATTGGCATTCCTGATAAAAAAATCATCCATCATTTCATCGTGGTCTATTTCGCGATGAGCTTGATGAATGGAATTATTGATTTGATGCATTGTCAATAACATTTTTACGGTTTGATCGTTCATTCCTTGTGCTCGACATTTCCTTCTATAGCGTTGGAGTAGCCGATTACCACGGCATATTTTCTTCTTTAGTTGCTTCTTGTTATTCTCAAAGTTTTGTTTTTGTCCAATGAATATTTGTGTTTGTGAAGGTGGTTCATACCAACCAGCTTGAGCATTTGAACTTGACATTGTGTTTGAACCTTTATTATAGTGTATATTATCAATATTACCATCTAGAAAACAAAAAAATTATTAGCGAAGCCCCAATGAAACTCAGATGTCGAACTTAACCCTTTGAGTACGGGCGACGAACATGTTCATCGTGTGACTTTGCGCTCTGAATAACTTTAAAAAACATGATCTTTTGGTTATTTAATGATATAAATTGCATGGATATCTATGATTAGGACATTGATGCAGTTAATATCATTTATAATTACTGATGATTATTGACTGTCCCTTCACCTTTTGAGTCCGAGATTAGTTTTATGTAGTAAAAAGGACGAGGGAGAGTTGATAGGCAAATCAGTTCTATAAACTTTTTTTTTGATTCGAAACCCAAACTATATTATACCAAACGAAAGGGGTCGGTGAGTTGAGCATTTTTTTGTGATAGAACTTGACATTTTGAAAGCAATCATGGAGAGTTCTGAGCGTGACAACGATGAAAAATGACTGAAATTTTACAAGTTAGCTTACTGAGAATCCTTCATGGTTTCATTTAAAAGATCAAAGTTTCGTTACAAAAAAAATGCTCAACTTGTCGAGCTCTTTCGTTTGATATAATAAAGTTGGGGGTTTCGAATCAAAAAAAAAATTTATAGAACTAATTTCCCTAACACTGAATCCCAATATATCAGTTTGAAGGTATGTGCGCATTCGATTATCCATTCGACAGGCAACGAATCTATTCCCTAGGACCAAGCAAAGTTGACAATTGGAGCCGAAGAACATCGTCGCATATTTTCAGATTATAGCGTATTTTCTAGTACTGAATCACATTGGATAGAGAATTGAACGCTCAATCGAATGATATGTCTCCAAAACAGTGACCTGCTTCCATTGTCGACTACGTAGGAGACGAATGCCAACCTAGTGACTTAGCATAACTTCCACTTTTGAGTCAGTATAGGCCGTCGGATACCCTCTCAGAGCAATATCTCTCTTCGAATTGTATTTCACTCGATACAGAATTGAAAAGTGCATCGAATGATAGTTGTCCGAAAGAGAGACCTGTATGATTAGTGGACTTAATAGGAGACGAATATCAATCTTGGTATTGAGGGCAAGTGACATTTTTGGACAACAAATGACCGTCGGATACTCTCTCAGAGTCAAGTCTCTCTTTGTATTATATATCATTCGAGAGAGAATTTACTGCTGAATCGAATGGTATACGTACGAAAGAGAGACGTTTTTGGCTTCTCGACTTACTGGAGAGACGAATGTCAGTCCAGCCATTTCGGATAAGTGACACTTTTGGGCTTCAAATGGCCATCGGATACCCTACTACAGTCAAGCCTCTCTTCGTGCTATAACTCATTCGATAGAAAATTTAATGCCGAATCGCATACTATATGTCAGAAAGAGAGACCCTATTCGGTTCTTCACTTAAGTGGAGATGGATGTGCACCCAGATACTGATGTTAGGTGACAGCTTTGGACCAGATTTGACCATCAGATTCTCTGTCAGAGTCATGTTGCTCTTCGTGTTATTGTCTCATTTAGTAGAGAATTTAATCCTCAATTGAGTGGTATGTGTCTGAAACAGAGAACTGGTGCAGTTCTTCACTTCATAAAAGACAAACATCAACTGTGACAACTAGCATAGTTGACACTTTTGGGCCATAAATGGCCGTCGGAAACTTTCTCAGAGTGATGTCTCTCTTCGAACTGTATCTCATTCGATAGAGAATTTAATGCTTAATAAAATCGTATATGACCGAAAGAGAGACCTATTTGACTGGTGAACTTAATAAGTTACGAATGTGAACTTTCTCAGTGACGATAGGTGACACATTTGGGCTACGAATGGCCGTCGGATACTTTCTCAGAGTGATGTCTCTCTTCGAACTGTATCGCATTCGATAGAGATTTAAATGCTGAGTCGAATGGTATGTATCCGAAAGAGAGACCGGGTTTGGTTCTTTATTTACGATGGAACGAATGTCAACCGTGGTAACAAGAACAAATGACACTTTTGGCTTTGAATTGGTCGTGAGATACACTCTTAGACTTATGTGTCTCTTCGAAGTGTAATTCATTCGAGAGAGAATTTCATGCAAAGTCGAATAGTATATGTCTGAAAGAGAGTCATAGTCGGCTTGTTGAGTTTTTAGGAGACGAATGTCATCCTCGACACTTAGGACAGATGACACTTTCGTGGTAGACTGGCCCGTTGGATACTCTTTCAGAAGCCTGCTTCTCTTTGTATCGTATCTCATTCTATGCAGAATTGAATGCTGTGCCAAATGGGACGTGTCAGAAAGAGAGACCTTTTTCATTTGTAGATCGTATATGAGAAGA